AGTAGATGCTTAAACTCTTTTATTTAGTTTAATCGCTGGTCTCATTTCACTTGTTCAGATTATTTGGGCTCATTTAAAATTAGCCCTCCTGTCTCCTTGATGCATTAAAATAGGAAGGAGGGAAATTTCTTTTTAGGACCTACTGCATTCTGAGGATGAATGCAAATTATCCTACTATGATTCTTAATGACCCACTATTAACGTAGTAGGAAGCCCAGTGCATTAATGCAATGCTACTTTTCACATCATTACTCCTAATGGAAGTGTTACCGGGATAATAGCTTGACCTTTAGCTATAGATTCTGATAGCAGAATATATTCTGCTTACTCCATACCTCTATTCACATGGCGTATCCTCTGCTTCCACATCAGTGCCGTGACAGTCTTTTGGCCTTGTTCTGAGGCCTCGTCTGCGATTGTAGTGGAGAGAATAGAATTTCATCTTCAATAGGTAAATTCTAGTTAAAAGTCCCTTTGAAGTTTGGATGTAATCCATGAGCCAGAATGTCAATAATGTGCCTAGTGGAAGTATTTGTTTGTGTAGGCTTTTTTTTTTTTTTTTTTTTTTTGAGAAGCCTGTGCTGTGCCTTCAAAGGTCTTAGTCATGGGCCCAGGGGACAGTGATTTTCTAGCATTTTTCTATTGAAAGCAGAAAAGTTTTAACTGAAAATTAAAATAAGCAGGAACTGTTGCCTTTTTAAGTGAATGATGAGTAACCGAGCTCAAGGTTAGACTGTAACTCTCCGAGCTGCAGCCCCTCGTTCTCCTGAACTGGCTGTTGGGGCACATGGAGCCAGCCATTGGACATTGGTATAGCTCAGGTCTCCTTTGTTATTTCGGAAGCACTACTTGTTAATGTGTGATAATTTGGGCACAAGCATTTTGCAATCTTAAGAAAGGAAGTTGCTATGGAAATTGTGTACATAGCATTCTAAGTGGAAAGATGTTTACCTCAGAAGGCAGTCTACTCAGTCATTTTTGTAGTATGCTTTCTCATTTAAATAAATAGAATACTAGATACAAATGCATTGTTTTTTAAAAAATTTTATTAAATCAGAACTTTAAGCACCTGTTGGCAGTTCTTCAATTAGTAAATGTTATTGTGGGCATTTGATTATAATGAAGCCTTTTCTCTTTAAATATGTTTTGTTAATTAAGACTTCCTGCTCATTCAGAGAGGCCATTTTCCAATTAATCTACGTTATTTTGAGCTCCTGCTCTTCGCAAACATTAGCAACAAGACTGGGAACTCTGTTGATTTTCTCGCCTGTTTCTTGAGCTTCTTCCCAGTACTGGGTGCTTTGAGGGAGACAAGGAAGTGAGCCTGGCGTGGGAAGTTGAAGAGCACATCTGTGCCCTGGGAGTATTGTGCATTTCCTCTGCTGTTTGCTCTCCCTTGCCCTGTGTACCCCACTGTGGCTCACCTCATTCACAAAGCCCTACTCCTGACCCTGCTTCCATCTCTCCTCCCCTACTCACCTGAGCCCGTGACAGACCTCTCCATGAAGGCTCTCGGGAGATCTGCACACCTCCCTCCATCCACATGTCATCCGGCATGAGTCACTCCCCTGCGCACATGAATACCCAACGGATCCCTGGCCACATGGTGTCGGGACCTCAGGAATCAATGCCTTCCACTGCTGCTTGGTACCCACTCAGCCAGCACAGCTCAGCATCCTTCCACACGGCTCTTCCACCTTTGCTGCTTACTCTCCAGCATCCCACCAGACTATTCTAGATGTTCCTACTGCTGTCTAACCCTCGCCTGCCACCCCACCGGTATCTCCATTTACTGATCCGTGCGGCATCTCAGAGTCTGTCTGTGAGCCCCTCTCTGTTCTCATTTTCCTGACATCCTCACATGCTCTAAGTCTCCATTCTGCTGCTGAGCTAGCTGGTTTAGCTAATCCTAACACCAGTCCATCCCTTCCACCCAGACCTCTCATGGACTGCTGCCTCCCACCCAGCAACCCCCCCAGAAGACTGCTGCACCCCGTTCACTGTTTCAAGCTTTACTGCTTGTCCTCAGTCTGCTACTTGCCCGTTGTCAACAATCCCAAACCTTCCCACACTCTTGTCTCCATGGTGCCTCACCACTGGCCTCACTGAGTCTCCGGAGCCTGGAGCCTCAAGCTAAAGCCACTTCTTGTCAATATCCTCATCCTCTGGCCTCCCCTGTACTTCAGTCCTGTACCCTGTCACCCCTAGTTCCTCCGAGATGGTTGCTTGACTCATTCCCTCCTTTCTCATGTGTCCTGGATTCAGTTGCCGTGTTGCCTACTCACACCACCTACAAACCATCCTCCTCCCTCCCCTCTGAGCCCAGCTGTTTCTAGAGGGATGTTGGTGGCTCTTCCCCCAGTGGCTCTCAGCAGACCCTCGCTAAGCCCCTTTTCACTAATGCTCTGGAGCCAAATGTCACCCTTGAGAAGACTTTCTGCCTGAATCCCCTGGATCTGCAGTCATCCTGGTCTTCTTAGTGGGCTTCTCTGCCTCCATATTTATTCCTGATGTTCTCCACAATCTACACTGTCAGGTGCCCTTCATTGTGTATGTTCTCTCTTCTTAACAGTTTTTCTGTTTATTGTTTTAACTGCCTCGTATACAACAGGCTCTTCATGATTGGTGAGTTTAGCATCCACAGATTTAACCAAGCAGGGATTGAAAATAGTCGAGGAAAAAGATAAGACAGAAAACCTTTGATGCTGGCACCATAGTTTAATGGTAAAGTACACGTTTTAAATGTGTAGACTTCGGGTGGCACACACCTTTAATCCCATCTCTTGGGAGGCAGAGGCAGATGGCTCTTAGTTAAAGGCCAGCCTGGTCTACAGCGCAAGTTTCAGGACAGCCAGGGCTACACAGAGAAACCCTGTCTCAAAACAACAATAATAAAACCAAGCATGTAAGCATTTTCCTTGTGATAATTCCATAAATATATGATGATAGCATGCATAGGTAATGTATTAGCTGTATGATTACCTTCCAGGGTGGTGGAACTGGTCCCCACAGACCCAGACCTAACAGCGTCATTAGCCTAGCTTCTTTTGCTGTACCTCTCTGTCTAACCTGCTGGTCACGTCACCTGGATGCTCCATAAACTGCCCACCCCAGGTCTTTGCCTTTACCTCACACACCTGACCACAGGATGTCTCTCACCTGCTCTAGATGCTTGACTCCCTGGGACAAGTATTAACTTCCAAGAGGGATCCCCGTCCCCCCTTGGCCCTGCAGAGCCAACCTCTCCATACCTGGTGTCTTTTCCTACACAACTGGACTGCTTGCATCTGAGTTTCCACATACAACTTCTTTCCTCTATTTCCCTAGGACACGATTTTAAAAGTAATATTGCTGATAGTATCAGTAATATATCAGGAGTGTAACCATTTTATGGGTCTCATTATATTTTATTCTTATTTCCCAATGAAAAAACTTCCCAGTCTTATGCTGCTAGTGTAGTAATACTTGCCACAATTTTGCTACTACCAAGCACAGCCCTTTTGACATTGTTTTTCTAACTTAGGATAAGTGTACAAAGTGTGCTTTGCAGTTCTTTGATTTACATATTAGTTGAGCCTTTTCCCTAGTATTTTATACTTCAAATACACTATTGATCTACAGGACTATTGAACTCACTCTTTTATATGAGTGCACTCTTTAAAGACGTCAAACATTCTGCAGTGTATATAATGTGGCCAGGTTTTGTAGCTCTCTTTTAAGATCTTTGCTTTTCATTGAATGGGAATTTCAATTTTTGTATAGATAAATCTGTCAATATTCCCTTTGTCATTTATTTTTGAACGAGACCTTTTAACACATTGAAATTACTAACATTTTAAATACCATGAAGGCAGTGGGACATGGCTGCTTACTGACCCACAGGCAGCGAGGTAAAAAGGCGGGTTGAGAGTGCTCAGGAACAGAAATGTCAACTGCACACCTCACATGTGGTCACACACTGTGTGGCTTTCCTGGGGTCATTGTCCTGCCTCTCTTTTGTCCTGCCCTGTGACTCTCCATGGCTTAATAGGGCAGATCTTTCCTCATATCTAATGCAGTGTGCAGGGTGTTGAGTCGTGCCTGGACTCAGTCTTAGAATTTCAGTAAGATGGACAGCAGTATTAGTTGAGTACCGAGTCCATAGGGATCATCGTGAGAATATCTCCGTGTGATGTTGCACTCGATTTTAAATTAACAACACAGAGGAAGTCAATTAACACGAATTCTCAACTCTGTCATGAATGGACCTAACAGAGCCATATGAAACATTTTCTTTTCCCATCAGACACATGTACACAAAAGAAGAGCAGTTTCCACACAAACTGCTTAGTGTTTCCAACCAGTTCCATGTTGAAGCATAAGCCATCATGGGTAGCCAGGGCTCAGCTGCTTGCCATCTTTACCAAGAAGACACAGCGCTGCTGTGGAGGATTATCCTAGATAGGGTTTTACTGCTGTGAAGAGACACCAAGGCCAAGGCAACTCTTATAAAGACAATATTTAATTGGGGCTGGCTTACAGTTCAGAGGTTCAGTCCATTATCATCATGGCAGGAAGCATGGCAGCATCCAGGCAGGCACGGTGCTGGAGAAGCTGAGAGTTCTGCACCTTGATCTGCAGGCAGCAGGAGGAGACTGACACACTAGGCATAGCTTGAACATAGGAGACCTCAAAGCTCACCCCCACAGTGACATACTTTCTCCAACAAGGCCACACTTCCTGATAGTGCCACTCCCTATGGGCCAAGCATTCAAACACATGAGTCTGTGGGGCCTTTCCTATTTAAACTACCACAAGGATGTTCCCTAGAGATCTGACATCCTTAGAAATTCACTTCAGGGCTGAGGAAGTAGCTTGTTGTAGAGCACTAGGTTAAATTCTCAGCCCCAGAAAGAAACAACAAAGACATAGACTTGTTTTTCTCCTCGGAAAAATCTTCCTATTTTGCTCTGCACCCCTTGTTGTGAAAGTGTTTAGTAGCATTTCATGTTTTCTTTCAGTCTTTACAGAAAATTACTGTACTGCGAATCATGTGGATAAACTTCCTGGCCCCAGAGACTGGGTACAGATTCTACAGGATCAGATTAAACTGGCCAGAAGAAGGTTGAAAAGAGGCTCAGGTATGAGTAAGCTTTAGAAGAAATCATTGCCTTACTGAACCTTTATGAAGCATAGTGTTCTCTCCCTGGGGCATCGTGGGATCTTTTGTGTCTGGAAGGAGATGTTCTGTGTAATGTGAATTTTTAAAGTTGTCTTAAGATTGAATAGTAAAAATGATGTAGGCCATTTGCTTTTAATAGCACAAGAGGAAATGATTACAATTGTCATCTGTGGTCTAATATGCTTCACGTGTGTAGAATTTAGTCTTCCGAGGTTTGCTTTTATCTGACTATTGATTTTTTGTTGTTTATATCCACATGAGTTTTTAAAAGGCCTAATTCCTCAAAGTTTAAAATGAAAAAGAAGGAAAAAAAAGGCAGTGGGAAGGTACACACCTTCCCTGCCAGCACGAGAGATAGAAAATAAAGGCTCTCTGTGAATTTGAGGCCAACCTGGTCTACATAGGACATGTTTCAAAAATTTAAAAAAAAAAAGCAAAATTCATCCTGTCAGAAATACCACATCTGGGCTGGAGAGATGGCTCAGCGGTTAAGAGCACTGACTGCTCTTCCAGAGGTCCTGAGTTTAAATCCCAGCAACCACATGGTGGCTCACAACCATCTGCAATGAGATTCAGTGCCCTCTTCTGGTGTGTCTGAAGAGAGCTACAGTGAACTCATAAGTAAAATAAATAAATCTTAAAAAAAAAAAAAAAAAAATACCACATCAAGTTAAGGTGCACACCTCTCTCTCTCTCTCTCTCTCTCTCTCTCTCTCTCTCTCTCTCTCTCTCTCTCCCTTTCTCTC